GAGCGGGGGCGGGAGGGGGGGGCGCGCCTGGGACCTGATGCTGTGTGACCGCCCCGGAGCTCGAACCCCTCGCGCCGCCCTACCGCCTGCCTCAGCCCTGGCCTGCCCGCGCAAAAGCGTCTACAAAGGTGCTTAGCTGCCGTATGCTGCTTGAGCGTCTAGAATTACAGCTTCGGGCACTTCGGTGCTGCCGTGGTAATTAGAAGGTTGGGTGCGAGCTTTACATGTGTTAGATTATTTTTCTTAGGATAAAGTTTATTTTGAACATCAATCTTCATATTAGATTTCATAAAATTAATGCATGGAAGAAAGAAAAGTGTTTGGGTACTTTACACTCGTACACTTAAACACTGCCAACTTTTTTTCTGTTTTTAAACCTGTGTAAAAACGTTAGTTCCACTTTAAAATATGGACTGTTTTCAGAATACGGCCCCTCTTTGATCAGCGCTGGCATTCAGGGAGACAGCATTTTTTGTAGCCCACAGTTTATATTGTTGGATGATTAAATTCTCGAGGGAGGTGTATTGCTATCTATAACAATTTAGAGTGGCACCTTCAGCATGAAGTTTTACTTTGTAACATGCAAATCCACATTTTCCAGCATCAATAATAAAAATATACCCTCTTCAAGACCTGTTGTTTTCTTACTATTAAGTACCTTCTCACAAACATAGAAAGCTTGGGGTATGAAAGACCATCTCATCTGGACCAACAGTAAATACAGTGTTATAATTAAGTACAATTGTCCTTGTTATTAAAGTAAAAATCTTACCATTGTCAGATTACTAAATATTTCAGATTTCCCCCCTTTCTCTCTCATTTTGCAGTGATGGACTGAAGCTTGAAACTCAAGTGCTGGATGGAAAGCCTAGGCTAATTTTAGCTGCTTCTGGTATTTTTTTTAATCATTTATCTCAAGTAATCTTTAAAGCTTCTTGAAGTTAAACCTAAGATCCAAGCAACATGAAGCACAGCTTTATCGAAATATTTTTCAGATTAGGAAGAATGTTTGTGCATTGTTATTCACAAGTTGTGTTACTCAGCAGCTTGATGCTGAACAGTAGGTTGATAATGAACTTTTGAATAGTCTGTCCACTGGTGAACAGCTGGCAAATAGTCTTGACTCTTTACAGCTTGTCCCACCATTCATACAAAAAAGTTAAGTACTATTATATGTTGACTCATATTACTTGATAATTTCTGTAACTTTATAGCACGTTACGTTCCAAGGAAAAAGAGGCCTAGTAACTCTGTGCTTAATTTCACAGAATTACACATTACAGTCACATTTCTGACTTTAAAGCAGCTTTACTATTTTGCAGTTGATGTTTATAATTTTGCAATAAGCAGTTTATTTAGGCCTGATGTCATTAATACCATATGAGATAGACTTTTCCAGTATATGTTCATAATTAAGCATTAATAAATTCTGGTTTTGTGATATGTCAGGCATATGTTTCTACACAAGCACAAGTCCACTTGCCCTAACTGTTATACATAGCGGTCAGGATACAGAGATTCTCCATTTAATGCCCTCTAAATTATATTTCATTTTCTGCATTTACCAGACAGCTATCTAATGAAGTGTTATGGGCTATTTCGAGTCAGTAAGGAATACCAGTCTACTGGAAACAAAGCCTTGCAACATCTCTGAAACAGCAATGCTACAGTTTTCACATTTTACAACCTTAGTTGGCATCATTGGCTGTATAGGACCACTATACATTCCAGAGTGCTCTAAAATAAAGCATTACCTTTGACATTGAACTATCCTTGAACAAGAATTCTTCTCCAGGAATTAATGTTTTTATACAACTGAATATAGACTGCATTTCTTTGAATTGAATTCTGTCAAAAATTGCATCAAGTTGTTTTACTTCCGAATTTCAGTCTTCTGCACTGTCGGATACTGCTCACGGTCTTTTTCCTTTCCACAGAGAAGCTGGGTTTGCATAGCACGTAGAATCCCACTTTGTTTAATTTCTGAATAGCCAGAAAGAAGTAAAAAAGCGACTTTTACGTACTCAGATGAGGATTGAATGCTTGAGAACCCAGGGATAAACGTGGCTGCAGAACGCATTTACTACTGGACCATCAAGATGGTTCAGGATTTAGTGCCTGTCTCTGCAGGACAACAATTCAGCGTACTCCAAAGCTTTAAAATATTCATCTCATCTAGGTTGCAAACTATTAATAGTGTCGTTCTGCAGACTTTAAGAACAGTTAGTGTTCTCCAGTGTCTTTAATTGGTAATGCAAAAAAAAAAAAAAAATGTATAAGTGCTACCAGTGCCAAATATGCAACCACTGCCAGAGCAATAATTGTATAATGTGTCTGAAGAAGCCTCATTTCCATTAGATGTGTTCCACTAAAATACCATCCCTACTATTTTCTCCCCCTTTTCCATTAGGTGTATGTGCAGGATTTCTTATGTTGAGTACCACATTCCCTCTATCAATCAATATTATAATATTATTTATTAATAAGTATTATATAAACACAGTACTTAATATTATTTTTTAGACTACTACACCTCTATGCATATTTGGGTTAAAAGGCTGAAGAGTATTTCGGGGCATATGTAAGGGGAACAAGGATGGGTGGCGTGATTATGCAAGTATTGTTTCTTTAGGCTGTCAGTGGTGGATACAGATAACGTCATGCAGTAAGATGGGGTTGGATGCAGGGAGTGTCCTGGAAGGGTGTGACACAGAAAGCAAACTGAAAAATCACAGTAAACAAACTGTTAAAAATAAGCCATTACCACAGGGCGCTCTGAGAAACAGAATGAATAGCAGAGGAGGATCAGACTGGCACAGTTATTTTATTAGATCTATATAAAACTGTAAATAGTTACTGGAATATATCTAATTTTTTTCACAACATACTTTTCAAGTGTGTATACTGAAATTAAAAGAAAAAGTAAAATAATACAGTTGGGGCAGATGTTATGGGGAAAGTGCTTTCCCCCTGCCTTACAGAAATCAGATTAATATAACAGTTTACTAATTTCTCAAGATTGTTTTTTTAGGAGGAAGTTGTTATTAAATACTTCTCTCATATGTTTGTGTTTGTTTTCCAAAAGATAAATCAAAGCCTGCAATGAAGGTAAGTGGAAAAATTACTTTTTTGGTTAAAGCACACAAATTTAAGAACACGTTTGAACTCTCTAAATTCCTGTAATCAATGATATTTATGAAAGATAAATGTGTACATATAGGTCCCTTCCAACTTGAGATGTTCTCCAATTTCTCAGGTTCATAATAGCTGTTAAAAAGGATGAATTCAAAGTTGTGTGACTACTTTTACCTTTGCAAAATGCTTTAGTTTACTTTGCCAAGAAGGCAACAGCAGCACAGGGTATCATCTAAATCAGAACTTTCAGAGACTTTAAAGGGATTCTGGTAAAAGAGGGATCTGAAGTGTGTTTAAGTTCCAGTTTAGTCATATAGGTTGCCTCTGCCTGAGTAAACTGGAATGCAGTGGGTTGGGAAAGAAAAGAAAGTAGAAAAAGGTCTCAGTACATAAGAGATAATTACAAGTGTAGATCAGGGACCTTGCAAAGGATAAAACTTCACTACAGAACGGAAAAAACAAGATTGAAATAATACTGGCTGTATGGTGAAAACATATACCTGTTTGAAGCTAGGCTTCAGAAACACCAAAGAAAAGCAGAACTAATGTTTATTCATTATTTTAAATGTTATGCTATGTAAAGTTGTTTTTTGCCCTGTCATTTTTAAATATTCAAATTTAGGTGCTATATTCTCTTCCAAGGTATTAATTCCTAGTACTCATGAAGATATTCATTAGTTTATACTGAGTTAGTTTCTATTGACGTAACAGAGAAGAAAAATTGCTCTTATTTTACTTGTTGCTTCAATTCTGTTTTCATTTGTTACCCATGCAATTTTATTTCCTTATTTAATATATGGTGAAATGTTTTTGCTTTAACAGATGGGTAATAAAGCCAGAGCACCTAAACAGGCATTGAGAATAAGGCATACTGGGCATCTTCTGAGGTCAGCACAAAATGCTTGTATCAAGCAGGAAAACTTAACAAAACTAAGGAGTGAATCAAGCTTATCAATGACAAAAGGTGAAAAACTGCAAGTTACTAAACACTCCTCACATGAAGCCACAACTAAAGATCACTTTTTGATTTTCCAAAGAGATAGCACAAACAGATATCCAGATTCAGAGAATCCTAATGTTAAAAAAAGTAAAGAGAAGCCACAAAACCCGTGTGTATCAGGTGATGACCTAAGAAGTTTGGTGTGTTTAACACAAGAACAGCTTCAACAGATTTTGATGACTATAAAAGAAGGAACTAGAAGTATCTCTGAGACTCATAATGAAAAACAAGTGCAAATGGGTAAGATACTGATAGTTGAATAAGTTAGTTTCATGGAAACAGAGCAAAATGTGAAAGCTTAACTTTGAGTTGACAGTTTATCTGCAGGCTACAGAGATGTTACTCTTACATTTAATGGTCTCAAACAAAACGATGTTTGCTATTATGGATGTGAAATTGCCTGTTACTGTTGGGAACCAAGCATTTGACAATTTTAACAGTAAAAACTAAGGATTGCTTGATAGTATACCAGTACTTTGAAGAGCAGAAACAGCAAGCAATTCTGCCAATATTTCATGCAAAAAAGGAACCATTTTACATTGGGGGAAAAAACATAGTAGAACTGCACTGTACCATCACCATTAGGAGTTTGAAAAAAAAAAAACAAAACCAAAACCCAATACTCAAAGAGACCCTTTCTGGTTTTGTGAAGATTCCAGGTTTTGCTGTCTCAAGAGCAGTAGTGCATTTTCCTCCGACCCAAAGATGTACATGTCTCTTTTTCCCTAACTGTAATATTACTGTTGAATTGGGCGGGCAGGGCAGGGGAGAGTGTGTTCTTCTACTCAGAAGCATACGAACTATTGCTTATCTTTCTATATTACATCCTTACTCCTGTCAGTGGACATATGAAGGTGATCAGCTCTTTGCCACCAAGAGCAAGATATACTGCAGTTAAGTAATTAGAGTCCCAAAGTCTGAGCTCTTAGCCAGGAATAGTGTTTGCTGTAAGTCTAGTATTCTAAAAATGCCCTGTGATGTTCTAACTTTACATGCCTTAACTGTAGAAGCAGGGCTGAAAACAGTTTTGTTAAATAGTGGGGAATTTGAAAGTTTCTACTGTTCTTAAAGTACTCAATGCTAAAGAAAGTTTAGTGGTCAGATATGTATTTATATATATTTTTATATATTTATACTCTACCACAGCTACTAATGAGGCATCAGAGGAAAATGTTATAGTGCTGCTCCAAAAAGCTTGTGAATTTTCATCTGTTCCAGATGAAGCTAACTCTGATTCAAGCAGGAAACAAGAAGCATATCTGCAGCCAGGATGGAAAGTTATGTATGTAGATCTGTGTTACTGTCACAAAAAACGTATCTCCAATAAAGATTCATATTGTAATTCTTAATCACAGTAAGAATATTTATAAATTCTGATTAAAATGTTACCTTTAAAATGAACAGATTAGCTTTTTGGTAATTTTTTTTTTCCCCCCACTCCTTTTCTCTAGAAAGGATTCATGGAAACCTGCTGACATGTTTTCTACCTTGGGTGAAAGAGAAGAGGAGAAAGCTTTATTAGAATTTAGAAAGACCCAATGGAAGAAGGAATTAGGTACTTACGATATACAGAATAGCTTTTTGATCAATTTATTACATTCAGGATGCCAAGAACTTTGTGTTCCTTCTGCTCTTTTAAATTTATTCATATCAGTGCAGTTGCTACAAATTGGAAAGTTACATAGTTTTATTAGTCTCCAAGACAGATTAAGATTCTCTAATTGCCAAATTTTATGCAAAGGTTTTCTATAACTTCCTGCAAGAATGCTTCTTAACCAAATATTATAAAAAATGTATTCTGTTATGCTTCATATTTTAGGAGTTACTTGCCACCAATTTTGTCAGATTCTGCCAGTACCTGATAGCCATTATCATTAACAAATTCATTTGTTTTTAAAGGGAGAAGTGTCACCCTAATCTACAAGCATGACTGAATATATCAAATTGCAGTTTGACCTTGAAACAGTTTGAAGTCCTGCCCCATCATCAACCAAAGAGAATCTCTGTAGAAAAATAAAAATTGTTTAACGCGGTAGTAAATTCTCTCTGGCAAATTAAGCTTTTTATGATTCACATGCAGGCGTGTTGCGTTTTGGTTTTAACTTGGGTGTAGACCATGTGGTTTCAGGGTTTGGTTCTGCATTATCAATAGCTTCCATGTATAGCTCCATTGGTTTTAGTAATATTACAGTAGTCCAAGACTGGTATAATAAAATGGAGAAAATTTATGTACTTTGTTATTTCTGTTAGTTTTCCCTCTTGCCCTGGGATACCGTTAAGCCTTCAGTGTTCTGTAGTCTTCTCAGAGAGATTCCCCAATTACCTCTACATCTCTGGGCAGAGACTCATCCGCCATCCCCTTAAGAGCAAAGTTATGTTTAGACTGATTGATCAGGCAATGGTGACTTGTAGTCCATTTTACAATGAGAATTACAGGGTGGGCATGCATTGCTGCTTTTTAAAAAAAAAACAAAAACAAAACACAACTGCTACACATCTGTATTAGGAACTCTTACTAGAGTGTTTGTTTTTTTTTTTTTTGAAGATGAACAGGTAGCACTGAAGAAGAAACTGAAAGAAACTCTGGAGGGAGAGGTGGGTTATTTCTGGGCAAAATCTGGCAATAATAAAGCCAATAAAGAGAAAGTGGAAACAGCTGATCCAGATAAGGTAAGGCTATCAATAAGCACTAAATAGCACATAGATTCCACAGCACTGTTGCCGAACTGTGCTTCAACTTTAAATTCATACAAGATTTTCTTTTCTGTACAAATCCAGTAGAATCCCATCTCAGCAATCACTTTAAGCTCTTGCATGGCATGAATTGCTGCAACCATGTTTCACACTTAGCTATTGCTCCAATTTGTAGCCTCACAAATTAAGATCTTTGTAGTATGAACAACCCATTCCTGTCCTTCCATGTTGATTCCTAACTAAAAGGTATACATTTTTTCCAGTTCTGTTTTAAGGAATAGTCTCAAATGTAGTTCCTGGTTATATAATTATTTACATTGTTCATTGTCATGGCTTAGGCCCAGCTGGCAACTAAGCACCAGGCAGCTGCTTGTTCACAGGGGACAGAATTGGGAAAAAACTCATGGGTTGAGATAAAAACAGTTTAATAGGACAGCAAGAGATAAGGAAACAACAATGATGACAACGATAATAATACCGACAAAGGACTGTACAAGAACAAGTGATGCCCAATACAGCAATTCCTCACCACCCAGTGATCGATAGCCCATCCCCGAACAGCGATTCCCGCCCCCCGGCCAACTCCAGTTTATGTACCGGCCATGACATTGTATGGTATGGAATATCTCTTTGGCCAGCCTGGGTGAGCTGTCCTGGCTGTGTTCCCTCCCAGCTTCCCGTGCACCCCCAGCCTTCTCGCTGGCAGGCCAGCACAAGAAGCTAGACTGGCCTTGACTACTTAGCAACAACTCAAAACATCAGCACATTATCAACATTTTCTCATGCCAAATCCAAAACATAACTTCACGCTAGCTTCTGTGAAGAAAACTAACTCTATCCTGGCTGAAACCAGGACATTCATATGCTCTCACATATATTTGATTGCTTATAATAAGCAGAGCAATTTGACTTTAACCTGTAAAAAGTCAGCTGTCACTCTGAAAATGTTGTGTCAGATAAATATATTATACTCAGGTGAGACTGCTTCTCCAGTGAAATTGATTGCTGTTAAACAGAAGTTAGGGTTGTACCTGCTATCAGTTAGCAAAAGCAAATTGCTTTTTTTGTGGCATATTCAACATTCCTAGAAAAGTTACCACTCTGCCCAGTAAGAATTTGTTTCAATCTACATAATTAAATATGGGATATGAGATGCTTAGTTACAAGTTTTGGCTGAAGTTTTAATGAATAGCAGCTTCTAGAAGTATAATTTACTTTATTATTAGGTATTAAAGGCTATTTAATACAAACAAACCAGGTAAGCTATATAAATCTTAAGTGGTCACTTTATTTGCAGACAATGTTTCCAGCTGACTCAGTTATTACCACTGAGGAAAACGGTGTCTGTACAACTGCTTTAACCACAGAGGCTAATCAAGTTCCACCGAACATTTCAAGTGCTCCAGCTGGGCCGTCTTCTGATTTCAATTCTGACTTACCAACTGTCAATTGCACAGCATTTGTTTTAGGGGTAAGATTTTAAATTGCATGCAATGTGGTTTTTTTTTTTACTTTTTTATTGACAACAGATGTGTATCTTCAGTAGTTCTTTTAAAAAACAGAAGAATTCAGTAGATCTTTTTGCTCTGTCTAGAGAATTGTGTCTGAATGAATGTTTATCAAAATACTGATGCTTTGAAGACTGAGCAGTTTCAAGGCTGATGTGAAGAACAGTACTAGAGGTGTGAGCTGAAGTGTTATTTAGCTTTTAAGTATATGTTAAAGAAATAGAGAAGTGGGAACCTCTCAGAAATAGAAGACTTTAAAAAAAATACATTGATGGCAGAAGGTTCAAGAAGTAGTTTTTGAGTTATTGCTAGTAGGCACTGATGGAAGCGTGGTTTTTGTCAGAGAGCACTGAAAGTTCCCAGTGCCACTGGAGTTTGTTAAATAATACATATATCTCTCCATTAAGAAGCAGAAACAGAAGAATGAAGATAGTATCTAGAATTTACTTGAGACAGATCACTACTAATTAGATCATGGCGCTGAATCTACCTGAAACACAGACTGAGCAGTGAACCATAGGAAGAAGGAAGGGATTTTTATTTATGATACATATAAATAAGGTTTTTTTGGAGTGAGAGGCTGATAATTCAAGTTGGAATAGTATTCGAAGCCTGGCTTATTTAGCATCTTTCTAACAACTGAAGGATTTTTATGGAGCAGTCAGACACTTGCTACAGTTACAAACTTTAATTCATCTTTTTGCACAAGAGAACAGCCCAGTTATGCATAGCAGCTGAAGGCAAAGTTTTCTGCCAAGTCTTTATTATGTGGCTAGACAAGACTGAATTTTTTGTACAAGGAAGAGACTAGCACTTGTCTTATTTCAGGAAGCTGTGCCACAGGAAAGACCTTTTAGTGGTTTGAAGCATGAGCAACAGAAGAAGTGGCTTGAGGAGCTGGACAACCAGAAGGAAGAAGCTAAGCTACGAAAAATAGAAGAAAAACTTAATTTATCAAAGGTATTTGTGGTTTAGAGGGACTTTTTGGAAGAAGAGAAGGTTTTTCTCTCCATTTTTGTTCTAAGAAATAAAGCATTAAATTGTAGACCTAATGAAGTAGCGACAAAGATGTAATTACAGATGCAGCATGTCCAATGTTGATGGAACATTCAGCCAGTAGCTGTTCCAGTATTTTAGTGGCAGAGAGCAGGCTACCATGTGTGTGGTGTGATGTGTTAGAGTGCTTACTGCAGGGATGAAGACAGTGATACTACTATACTTTTTTCTTCTTTCCCACCATTTGTGAAAGCACTAGGGTTTGGAAGGTGTTGTACAGACACTGGCTAGATGCCTTGCAACAAGAAATTTTCTGTAGACTATGTAAAGAGATGAGAAAAGAGAAGAAAATTTATAGATAATTACAGTGTCACAGTGGTTTTCAAATCCTGTTTCTAGAAATACTATTTTAATACACATACACTCTTATGAAACTTTTTTAAACACTTCTACTCCAAAAAGTATTGAAGAAGATAGCCTTACCTTTTTTACCCTTTGGTTTTTCCAGGCTGTTGAATGTAGGTCTCTTATGCTGGATCTAGAAGGAAACTGTGGCCAGTATAATTGCTTTGCAGGTGGAATACCTGAAGACAGTGTTACTATTGACCAATTTGGTCAATACGTCTTTTACCCCTGGAGATTCTTCATACGGAAGCTGACTTTTTTCCTTTGTGTGTTACTATTAGTAGTTTTAAGGTCAGTGGAATACTCTGCATTCTTACACAGCCTGATACTGGCACACTCTTCCAAAGACTTTTTGTCTTTTGAAGTGAAGAAACGTGCAGTGAGATTGAAAATCTGGATTCTAGCAATAGTACAAATTATTGTACACAGCTTTAACCCCAGGATTATATCTTTCACCATCCATGAGATGTACTCACATCATGAGATGTTCTGTATTATTAGCGAACGAGAATCTTGGTTACCAAAATTTGATTGGTATAAATGTTCATATTCTGCGGCCTTCCGAATTAAAAGGCTATAGGTTTTACTTTCAGCTGAAGCATTTATGGAAATTACACAATTCCTGGACAGAAATTGCTTTAATTCCAGAATTTGTAATACTGGAAGACAACTTTCCTACCCATCCCCCTCAAAAAAACCCTTGTTGCCAAGGTCGGTTATATACCTACACACAACGCAAGTCTTCATTTCCCAAGTTGTTGAAGGGATCAAATTTCCTTTGTAAATTGGTCTTTGTAACTGTGAAAGGAACACAGCTGTGAAAGGTTCCTTCACTAGCTGACTTGGTTTTTTAATTTGATAGCTGTGCTGTGGGAAGATGGTTGCAGTTACCAGTGTGTAACCTAACAGTAATCTCACTTCCAGCCTCTCTTTGAAAGGAAGTTAATGTGCACTTAAACTCATTTTCTTCACCATCTTTTTTTTCAAGTCAAGTCTTGCGTTACACTTTCAACCCTTATGCATATTGCACCACAGACTTGCATAAGATTAAAGTAAATTTTCCAGCTACTCTGATCTGCTTCTACATCACAGAGTAATCAAAGGGAACAAAGCTCAGGGAACAGGAGAAAGAATAATTTGGATTCTCATTATTTGGACTATGATTTTCTTGCTTCTTATAAAATAGGTGTAAAACTTTCCTGACAGAAGGGAAATTTTGTTTAAGGAAAGGACTCCCAGAAAGTGTATTAGATTAGATTATTTTAGTTTTTTTCCTGCAGAATGCAAGTTTTGAGGCAGCCGTCCTTCCAGGGAAATGGTTCTTTTAGTCAGAAAAGAAAACCTTCTCAGTACCTATAGCAAAAACAAAGGCCCCTTAAATAAAAATCTTGTATTACTGATATATTAGAATGTCTCAATTGCCAACAGTGAGCCAAAAAGATGAGCCTAGGTGGTACAGAAGAGAGACTTAACCCCAGTATATCCCGTCTACAAAAGTTTTAGGTACTTTGCTAAGATAGCAGTGGTGGCTGCTGTGGGTGGAAGGGATTTTGAAAGAAGGCTTATTTTATAATGGGCCTGTCTGTCTGTCTAGGAAGTTAGAATTTAATGTCTCTGCCCAAAGCCATTAATTCTTTTACCATCCAGAATTAAAATGGAACGGGTAAATGTAGAACATTGTAAAAAATGCCACTTGTTCATGTTACTGGAGATTGAATACGTACACAACAGGAGGAGAGTATGGCAGAGTGGCCAGTATACTGACCTCTCAATCAAACAGTTCCCAGTACTATTAGAAAAAATATGGAATGGACTAGTAATATAAATTGAAAGAGCAGTACCAAAACACCGGAATCCACGTTAACTTACTTTTTACTTCTCAATTTTTTTTTCATAGAAAATACAGTAGCAATATGTTTTTGCTGAGCAAGTATATGGGTCAGTAGAATAATTTCTGCTCTGACTTGCATTTAAGCAACAGAGAGGCTTCTGTTTTCCCATTTAGGGAATTAACTACTGTCTGTATTGTAGCCCCATAACAGATCTTTTCAAAAGTTCCTGTTTTACAAAATGTGTATTGTCTGTTCTGTTAACCAACGTTATAGAAGCAGTGTAATTGAGCACATTTCTGTTTTTTTGTTGCTTCGTATTTGTTTAGGCTGAAGAGCATGACAGATGGGCAATGCATTTTGATTCGTTAAAGAACCACCTTAATGCTAATCCACAACACCCCTTAAATGGAATGTACAAAAAGCAGCCTGAAAGTCTTTGCCTGTCACCTGACCCTAAGGAGCTGACTGCTTTTATTCGCCCTTTTTCACCTGTAGCTTTAGGCAACCTCATGCCCTCAAAGGTGGGAAATGCAGAAAAAGCTGCTAAAAACGGTGCTTTGGAACACAGTCAGAAAGTCAGGTGAGTGAGCGTTGTCAGGATAATCATCTTCCCAGCCAGTACATTTCTGATACCTCCTCAGAAATAAATAAAAAAAATATGAATAAGATTCATTAAATCTCATCTTTGGATCTTACTCATTTGGCTTTTGATTTTTTCAGAAACACCTGCTGTTTCACTTTTGAAAGACACAAGTGCTTCCATTGTTCATTAACAAAATTTACTGCGAATAACCTTTGTTCCTTAGTAAAATGAGTTTCACAATTGTAAATTAATACACTGGGATAACCTCAATATGAAAATATTACTTGAAATCTAACTGGTTCTAATGAAGAAAGGCTTTAGGTTTATTTTCTTATGATTAAAAACATTTATGTGTTTCTTTGTTCAGTTTCCTCCGTTCAATGACAGCTCTCCTGGACCCTGCACAGATTGAAGAGAGAGACAGGCGGCGGCAGAAACAGTTAGAACATCAGGTAGACTTCTGTTTTACTAACACTATTTTAATGATATGAAAGGTAGTGTTGTCACATGAATAAAGCATGAGATTTAATATCAGAATCCAGTGAGGTGCTTGACTTCTATGCTTCAGATTACATGTTTACAGTTGTTTAATGGTATTTCATTTGGTTAGACTCTACTGTTGTAATATTTGTACAGATAAAATTGCTTTTTCATAATGGAATTCTTGCCTTAAAAACCATATAGTACAGTCTTTAGAGCTCTAGTAGGTTTGGGTGCATTTTTCTTCAGTCTTCACGGTCATCAGGAGAACTGATATTTACAGGTACCCACTCCATGAATCTTTAAATTTTTATCTTATTTACTGTCATTTACATTACTTCTGTGGCACTCTTAACTGAACTTATCTGCATGATGATGTCTCTAGCACAGTGTAAAGAAATCTTAGTATAAATGTAATGAGCCTGTTCTGGTCAAACTGTTACTCTGCTAGATGGAAATACTAGCTTACAGTATATGCAAGGTAAAAATTAGACCACCATTTCTTTACTAGAAAAATAAAAGCATTATTGAAAACATAAAAAGCTACTTCTGTTTGTCTCCGAGTATTTCACACTGCTTTATTGGACTGGTGGTTCTCCCCCTTCCCCTTCCCCCCCACCCCTCCCCAAAAAAAGGAAGGTAACTACCTCTTGTGAGAAATTAAAAGAAACAAAAGTGTTTGAAATAAATTGTCTTGATTTTTTTTTTTTAAACTTGTCCAAATCACATTATTATACATGTATATGGAAGTATATGAATATATAGCTTATAATGCCTTTAATGTTATACCTTCTAATTTTTCTTTTTTTCTGATATTACTAGAAAGCAATAATGGCTCAGGTAGAAGAAAAACGGAAGAAGAAACAACTGGAGGAAGAGCACAGAAAATGGGAAGAGCAAGAGGAAGAACAGCGCCTAGCACGAGAAAAAGAACAAATGCAGAAGCAGTTTGAAGAAGATATGCTGAAACAAAAACAAAAGGAGGTGAATTTTTGCATTTTCTTTAGTGCAGATAGTCTGTAATAATACTGGGTTTTGAGGAAAATGGTTCTTGTTGTTCATCTTCAAAAGGATGTTGACTCATCATTTTGAAAATTAAAATGATCTGAAGTTTAGGCATTTGAAACCAAAAATTATTTCCTCAACTGATAAACTTACAACACCACATGAATTTAGGGCAGGTACCTTTATTCAGACAAGAACCTTTTCAGGAAGAGAAATGGATAAGAACAGCCAAAAATGGAATTGTAGTTTTAAATAATGCAGCAACATGCATTTTTAAATGCAAATTTTATATAAAAAAACCCTCAAAGTATGTGATCCAGTTATTGTTATTGGAAACTTGATACTTCTAAGATGCTTCAGTACTATGAACTTTATCTGACTGGATGTGCTTTCACTCTGGATTAAAGACTTTTCAGAATATATTCTGGAAAAGTAGTTTTAAGAGTCATTCATGTTCTAGACCTTTCTCCTCTGTAACTATTGCTGAGCTTTACATACTCCTTTCATATAAAAGTTAAGTCAAAAGTAACATTTTAACCTTTGGTAAGTACAAATTTTGCCTTTGTATACATTCTTACCTGTTACAGAAGAGCCTGTAGAAGGTTAAAAGCCTTGACTGATGATTTATTCTTCCTTTTGGCACAGTAGCAGCTATTACTGTTTGCCTCATATTTGGAACAGTAGCAGAATTCCATGAGGTCATAGGACAGGGTGATTCCAAAAACACATCATCCTCTAACACCTGTAGAAATAAGGATCCCTGATATCTCTACATTTTCTGGATGGAAATGTATGTCATCTGCCTGTAGATGCTAGAACAAATTGGTAAAATCTTGGGAAAGTCAACTTTCTCTCTAATATATCAGCTCCTTTAAAACATGTCATGCTATCAGCTGTTGTTCTTTCTGCCTGCAAATGCAGTAGGAATTGGGGACGAGATGGTAACAGCAATTTGGAAAGGAGATTTTCCTTGGCCCAGTCTCCTGCACCTTGAACCTGCTGATTATGGAAACTAACCCTCATATTTAGAGATGTCCTGCCTTTGTTAGGGAGGCTTCTGCAGTCTCTGTGGAAGTAGGAGGAGGGTGTTTTTTTAAATTATTTTTATTTAGGCTTCTTTTATTTTATTAAACCACATGATCTAGGAAGTCATAGATGTCTGAAATCAGATGGCATTTAGGAAAAGATTTAAAAAGGAGATAAATATCCAAATAACTTTGAGGATCTAGATGCTCACTTTTTTAATGCTAGGATTGAATGTCTTCCATTAGCATAGCAGAGGTTCTGAATTATCATAAAAGTTATATGTCACATATTGCATCTACTTAACTAGTTTTGGTTTTGTTTTTTAAATGCTTTACCCAAAATAAGAATATATTTAAACCTTGAGGATTATATGGGGATTAAATAATCCTATTAATTTCATTCTCCAAATAACTGATCACATATATTTACTTTTTTTTTTTAAAGGAACATGTGACTCTTAAAACAAATGAGCTCTATCAGACAATGCAGAAAGCTCAAGAATTAGCACAGAGATTAAAACAAGAACAGCGCATTCGAGACTTAGCTCAGAAGGGACATGACATTTCAAAACTTCAGAAGAATCTTCATGGTGGCAAGTAGAAGTCTTCATATCAGTTTGCCTGTTCCTTTGGTGTTTGTGTGCAAGTTGTCATTTGTTTTTGTTTTACTTTTTTTTTCCCTGTTTGGGTCAGAAATTGCTCCCTTACTTCAGGATCCAACTTTCATTACAGCTTATTTACCTTCTGAACAAATATTGGTGTTAACTAATACAGAGAATATTGTATTCTAGTAAGCTTCAAATAGTATATTACATAAAGGAATAAATATAAAGATATTATCAGGAATGCATAGGGAATATTCACCCTGTGTACTGTCAATCAGATTTCCAGTGAAAAAGGGAGAGTATTAGGATCTCAACCATAGTTCTCAGACTTGCTTTGAGCTCTAAACCACAGTAGTCTGATAATTTGATAGCATGGTTTAAATGGAACATACGTTACTAAATTGAACAATTTTACTTACTTCTTTTTAGGCGATACAGAATTTGAAAATTTTAATACTGACATTTCACATCAAAGTCATGATTTTTCTGATGATATTAAGAGTCACATTGTTCAGCAGACTTCTCCTCGGAAAGACACTGCTGTACAGACAGGTATGCAGCCCTTAAATTTAATTACTCTGATGTTCCTCAAGAAAGAGAGTAGAACAGCATATTTGTGAAACTGAGTTATAGGGCCAAACCACTGCCATTCAGAATGGAATAAAACTAGAAAGAAATACTTGGACAGACACAGGCATGTTGGAATATTACAATATATCATTATATCCTTCTAAACATAGCTGTTACTTACCAGTTACAGGTTCAAATCACCCAGTCTGAAATACCATGTTGAGTTATGGCTTGTGACCATGACCCTGCTTCCTATCACTTGTGAAGTGGAAGCATTATTTTATTTGTTTGCTTAAGCAACAATTAATATTTTTGGTTTTGACAGTGCTGGTAGAAATTTTACTGTGAATCTGGAAACTTTACAAATCAAATAATAATGTTTTTGTGTATGCCCCTTCGTAAAGAAAGAAGCTGGATTGTTAGTAATACAAAAATTGAACAAAGTATTTCCATTGGAAGACAAGGATTAGGAAAGTTAGTTATTCCCAGTAGCACTGTGAATATGACCAAACCATCAGCATGCTGAAAAGCTGAGCAGAAGCTGTGTTTTGCCCTTTACCATTGGGTACCATGACGGAAACAGAATTCTACATTTTAAAATAATGTAGTTTCATTTTACTTAAATTTTGCTTTTACAGTGACTTGATTTCATTTTCCAGTCTTTTCCTCCTTATTGAGTTTGCTTCTACTGGTCCTATCAATCTTCCACATCAAAAAGAATAAAAAACATTATAAAACTGTAACAACCAGTGTTTTATTAAAATCAGTAACGGCAGATTGATTCGCATACAAAAGTCAAATAAGTAATTTGAATAGGTTAGACTTGGAGTTAAAATATTTTCTTTTTTTTTAGATTACTTTAGTACTTCAGCGTACACTGAGTCAGCTGAGGAAAGAACTGTGTGTTGCAGATCACCTGATATTTCCATAGAATATAAAGAAACCCCTAGCAGCAAAAAATACCAGAAGGAAATGCAATATATAGATAAAAATAAAATTTCGGGAAAAGAGAATGGTGGCATTTACAGTGATCTGTATGAACAATATGCAAGAAGAGAAAGACAAATTAAGCCTGCAGAAAAATACAGCAAAAGACCTGACTGGAACATAAACAAGCCTGGGAAAAGATACATTCCAGCATCAGAAAGATACCCTAAACAGCTACAAAAGCAAAGGGAAGAAAACAAAGTACGACGACAAATGGAGCTGCTTCAGTTGGTGGAAAGAAATACCCCTGGGAATCTCTGCCCAAAAAAGGGTGGCTATTCAGACAGGTCTCCTTCACCTCATGAAGAAATAAATATGAAGAATAAGGGACATAGAGTCAGAAAGGTAACTTTTTGGTCTTTAAAAACAATGACGTGTATTTTTAAGACTCTTGTTCTACATGGTTTTGCCTGGATGGGAATTCAGTTATGTAACTCAAGCATTGAAAATCTCCCTGTTGCTACCTTTTGTGTAAAGAATGGTAACACAGCATTGTTTCCTTCTTCATGATCAGAAGAATATATTCAGATTTTGTGACTTAGCTTTTACCGTTATTTCAATTTTCCAAAGTGTTTATTCTTTTTCATTTATTCATTATCATTGATTCATTTTATAAATGGGGAGCTTGATTGAAAGCAGTGTGCAGGGTAGAATGACATCACTGAATTGCTCTTTTTTGTCCAGTCATTATATTGTGGTGATGGTTGAGGTGTAGGAGTACCTGTTCAAAAAAACCCAGTTTTTATTTCTGCAAATACTACAGATTACTGAGGATGTACTCTATTGTCATAAAAACACATCTTTCTTAGTGGAGCCATTCTCCATCTGCAGTAAGCATGTATCGGTATAGCTTGTAGCTATAAAAAACAATTTTCATTTAAAGAAAATACTATCAAATATATTTATGCCTTCTCTCTCTCACGTTCTCCCTCTTGCTCGCTTGCTCTCTGTATGTATGTATATACATATGTATGCATAAAAATCTCACTTTCTCACGCCTTCCAGTAGAAGAAATCTGGTATAGAAAAGGTGGCTGCTTCAGTTCTCTTCAGCCATTTGTTTACTGTGGCTACATACACATATTTTAGAAGCTGTGGGTATTAAAAAGAAAAAAAGTATGTGAAAATACGTAACTGTTCACATAGGTATCTTTAAAGATTTATTCGTTTGTTAAACTGAGTTTATTGGTTTATTTGAGGTAATGGTAAATCTAAGTTTTGTGCTTGCATTATTGAAAGGTAAATGTTCAAGAATTTTGTACCTGAGAAATGGTGCAATGAATTTTAAGCAGATTTTTCAGAGACTTAAGCATTTTCTGATACCATAAGAAGCATGGGATATGTTAATATTTTTCATTTAAATAGAAAACTTCTCTACTGACTGTGTCTAGAAACACAACCTTTCCTTTAATAATCATTATCTTGGGCTGAACGTTTCAGGTTTATAAATGCAGCTTTCCAAGGTCATTGGAAAACATATATAGTATTTTCTATAGTGCTCAGAGCTGCCAAAGACAGAAAATTGGAACAAATCCTCCTGTAATTTGTTTAATTTAGTTCATAGACACTACAAGTCTCTTTAATGCAAGTCTCTGATAAATACCTTTCTCCTGAACTAGGTCAGACAGTCCTTCTGGAATTTCAGAACAAACTTGTCTTGAAAAGTGAAAGCTTTTGATATAAAAAACATGGAGCTTTTTATTTTACTTTTTACTTTCTTGGTTTTCTCCTAGGAAGAACAATTACATAAGAATCATTTGAATGAAGAAAGGTACGTTAATACTCTGAATTAATGAAACGTCTAAATACATTAATAGTGAAATATACATGCTTTTCTTTCCTGATTTTTAATTTTTTTAAAAAGAATTTAGATGCATCTAATTGTCTCCTATTAAAAATACAAAAGACCAGACAAACTGCAGGTATAAAAGCAGAGTAAATGAGCAGAAGTCCAGTCCTCTGAGGAGTCCTTGTCTAGTATTTGAAAAAAATAATCACATTACTTAAGTATTTTTGGGTTTGTTTGGGTTTTTTTAACCGGAATTGTTTCATACAGATCTGAATCACCACCTGTTCCAGCAGTTAAGAACAGATTACACAAAATACAACAAAAACAGATACATGCTGCTTATTTCCCGGTGCATAACAACAATAGTAGAAGAGAGAAATATGTCAAGACAGATACACAGCAGAGGAGCTCCCCTCCTCCCGCTACAGAAGCTGAAAGACCTCCCTCTTCACAATTTATTCCGTATGTTCGAACAAATGAAGTGTATTATCTTGATCCAGATGCACCAGTGACTAGACCTTCAACACATGACCCACAGTATCAACAGTTTAATGGTACTGAAACGTATTGTGAACTGATTCGTGTAGAAGAGATGTTACAGTGATATTAGTTCAAAGTTCAAAATTTATTCAGTTTGCTATTTGTTTTTACTGAATTCTGCAGTAACCCATATGTGTCACAGCACTGTATAGAAAGCCTGTGCAACCAAATGATAATAATATTTAACAACAACAACAAAAAAAAACCACACAGAAAAAGTTGGTTATGGGGTTTTTTTAATCAAAAAAGCACCAAAATTTCTTGTTCTTTCATCTCTCTATTTTGTCTGTTTGCCTTTAATGAAGTGTGATTGCACTTCTCTGATATTATTGTATATAGATTTGGGTTTAGGAATTTAAGTATTGTTTGACTTAAAAATAGTGGTCGTAATCTAGTAGCAACCAAAATGTGATTTTTCACAAGCTGTGAAGATCTGCTGATTCAGAATTAAAAGGAAATTGGTAAAGACTATTGTTAAGTGATTTGATATACATTTATTTTTAGATTCTCACCAAACTCCACGACAGATTTTTAGTTCTGATCATGTTAGAGATCCTCTTCTAAATCCTGATGTAGTGAAAATCAGAGAGAGACAACAAGCAATTCTGAAAGGATTGTCAGAATTACGCCAGGTAGGCAAAATGTTATTGGATAAACATGTATGTATATATACAGTAAAGTCAAAATGAACATTGCAGACTATCACAGTCATAAGTATTAGTCTAATTCATTTTTCCATTATAACTTTTGGGCCCTGTCCTCTACTTTTGTTCCCTCTTACTGATTTTGCTTTTCATGCATTACTTCCACCTTTGGCTGTCCTTGGAGAGAGACTATGGACTCAGTCCTTAGATTAGCTATGAAACACTAGGGTACCTGAGAAAACTTGAAACCAAGAGAAATGGCTTTATTTAGTCTCCAGGTTTTGATAGTTAGGGTCGCTTATAGAATGTTTCAATTTCAAGTGGAAAAAGAATACTATTTTAACAAAGCACTAGAACCCCTGTTAATGAATCTTCACTTCTGCATTTCATGGGTAAGCCAGTCATGACAGAGCAGTGTGGTTGGTGCAGAAGAGTTAGTGGGGTGGTACTGATGTGTCTGTCCTGGAAAATTACTGTAATTTGCAAATGTGAAGTGTGAACACTTACAAAATCCTCCCAAGATAGGTATTCTTTTGTTAACATGTAAAATTCAGGATTTGTAAATCAGCCACATTTAGTGAGTGAATATTAAATGAAATTTAGTTTAATACTACACACACAAGAGCTCCTGAGACAAAAGCCTATGTATGTTTGTATATATCGCTCCATTTGTAGTAAGTTACTGGTAATGATTAGATCTACAGGATTGCCAGAAGGATTTTGAATATGGTGAGACTGTCTTTAAGGATCCATGTTGCATTAAATTAAAGCAGCACAAAAGATTATAGCTGGTGACTCTGAAGTTACATATTTTCCTGATTGGAGTCAGAATACCAGGAAAAATACTGTTAGGCATCTATTTATTAAAACGTAAGTGAATTTGATACTCTACCTGTTGGCAACAAGGTGTGGCTCATAGCAGATTCAAACCGCAGGTCTCGACAATCACAGAGTTTCCTTTTTTGCTTCTAAATGGCCTGGGAGGGTACTGCAAGACAAAAAAGACACATTTACTTTTAGGTTTGCATTTCTTTCTTGAAGAACACTATAGATAAACATGTATCAGTATCTTCCCTTGTTTTTGAATAGCTCCATACTGAAAGTACTTCATCGCTAGCAGCACTTTATTTTTCTTTGCCTTAAGGGAGAAAAATTATATGATCACAATAAAGGGAAGAAAATCTGACAGACTTAAGTACAACAAAACTACCAGTAGTTAACACTATTAATTACCTGCTGTGCTTTAGAAAGACAGAAGTTCTGCCACCATGCTTCAGTAGTAGGTCAATTCCTTGGGCAAATGAAGGGTCATGGCTCTTTGTAAGTTATTAAGAAAAGTTGTGACCCAAGAGCACCAAAAGGTTGCCAGTTTCTAACAGTTTCCAAATAGGTTTGACTGGATCAGGTCTTCCCCAATGCTTATTAACATTTTTGGTAATTATCTACAACTGTTAAGCATTTTGTAATTAGGCTTCATTTACCAGTGGTATTTTGGTTAAGCGCAAAGCCAGCTTCAAAGCACAGTTTGATCCTTGTGCTTGCTGAGGTGAACAAGCGCCATGGATATTTGAAGAGGTTTAAGGTGATAATATCCATGTTGGCAAACTTAAGAGGCAGGAGCGCTTAGGTATACCCTGATTATTGTATACTGCTACAGATGACACCTGTTTTGCATCAGTTACGTCACTGAGAGAGGAGGAGTAATGCAGTATTTTGTATGAAATATAATTTAGACACAGAGCAGCATTTACTTTTATATTTCAGAAGATAATCTAGTCTTGTTTTTTAAAGTTATATATACATGCACATATATATATGTTCACAACATATTTGGCCATTCTTCAGCTTTTTGTCTGGGGGAATTCACAGCATATTTAACCAGTCTTTAGCCTCTGAAATACACCCCCAGCTAGCGTGACAGATAAATACAGTCGGGCTGTTTCAGTAACAGACTAGCTGAACTGGCTGACCCATGGAAGACCCCAGTGAAAATGGAGGGCAGATGAGGGCCGCCTTCTGCCGAAGGGAGGGCAATTCTGTCATTGCATTTGTTACAAGACAGCAAGTCTCTTCCTGTTATCTTGGGTGACAGCAGTAATAGCAACTACCAACAGACTTTTATCTTGCTCACTGAAATTGAAATAGTCATTGGAGTAAGCCCAAGTTTACTCATCCAGCAAAGTGAATTAAGTATTTGTGGAAAAATACAAAGGGGGCAAAGTTTAAGAAAAAGGACAAAAATCACAGCTATAGTCAGTACGTACTAGAGCATCTTATTTTTACTAAGGCGATAAAACCACTTGCCAACAGGTTGTAGCCTATGATGGCTAAGCGATCTTGCCAGCCACCAGCAGGCTACCCAGGGACATGCAAAGAAAGACCTCACAGTTGTCCCAGTGTAGGTATTTCACAGTACTTTCCTCTAGGCCCTTTTTATTACCTTTATTACCATGTGATTGATAGACTCTGTTCCAGTTTTCAGTGTTACTTGTTTCTCACCTCAGCTCTGGGTTGATCCAGGGCAATTTATTGCATGACTCAGTTTTGTAACATGCTACTAAATGCAAAAAACACTCTAAAATGAAAGTAATTACTGACAAAGGCACTGACCCATTAATAGAAATAGCAGATGCTGTTGATTAGTTAAAAAGCAATTCATCAAGTAATTGAAAGTAGGCAGCTGCTGCTTTTGGAAAGATGCAAAGTGAAGTATAACAAACAGTTTTCTTTGCTAACTGAAGCCAGTTCTGCAGGACCTCTCTCCCCTTCTGTGCCACCAGGAATACCGTGTCTAACATTGTAGTACCTGCTGGCTTGCGTTCAGTCTATACTGAGCTGTGCCAGCAGCCTATAACCCTTATCTTTGAGAAGGATCTCGTAACTCTTGATGAAAAATACCACTGTAACTTTTCCTGTTGTTTGGGTTTGGGTTTTTTTTTTTAAAACAAACTTCCTTGGTACCAAATTACTTCTGACAGGTCTAAAATGGACTGAGACCAAGGGGCCCGATGTATCTCTCTCTATAATCCTATTAATTACAGTAAAAAGACTTGCTTATTTTAAATTTATGAATGTACCTGCCATCGCTATATCGTATGTTACTTACTTATCACACAAAGATACACTTCCATGAGTTTTTTTATTACAGGTTTTCTCCATTGTCTAGTACTTACGAGAGCCATTTTCAAAGCAGGAACCTTTTACCTTTTGAGAGTAAATAGGCGTATCTTAAAATATCCGACACTGTTCTAATTCAAATGCTAATGCTGTCCTTTCTCTTCGAGTAGAATTTGTGTTATGACTAAAAGCTGGTACATGTCAAGGTTTTGGGTTCAGCTTCATACAAGAATACTACAAATGTAGTGAGAATGCACAGAGGAGTGAGCAAGTTGTATTTAATACAATGGAAAAGTCCTTTTTCCTCTGCACAGCCATCAGAAACTGACAGAAACTGGACAGGCTTCCACTTCACACTTCAAGTCTTTTGCAGAAGACAGAAGATCTGGAGTTCCCTCGCTACTGAATGTATTATATTGTATTGCCTTTTTTTAAGTTGTATATTTAAAAAGCATTGAGCCTTAACAAGTAAATTGTTTTAAAATACGAAACAAACAGTGACACTTTATTAGTCCAGGCTGCATGAGGAAGACGGAACATTCACTTTCATATTCTGCTTATTTCAGGGCCTCCTGCAGAAGCAGAAGGAGTTGGAGACTGCGCTGATTCCCGCTACAGCTCAAGAAGAGAACTTTGTTTCACCATTTTGAGAGGTACATAGGAACGTTCTGCATTTGTAAAATGTAAATGCACAGCACTTTGCTACTGTAATTAATTATGAACCATCTCTTTTTTATGAAAGATTTAAAGTATGTGAATTTTGATAGATTACAGGGTCATGTTGCTTTTCATAGTGAAGATATGTTAAACTCATGATGGTGTGTTTGTTTAGAATGGCCTTCATGCTACCTGAAGACATTATGTCCATTTAATATAAGCCACCAAAACACAGTATAAAACCACTACATGGGTTTTTGTAGAACTCAGTGTACGTATTTTGATAAATAAAAAGACTAAGGTATATTCTGAATGGCTTGGGTAGACTTTGGTATTTTTAACTATATGATACTGCTTGTACTTAATATAGATTATCTAAGCCTAAAAGTTCTCGGAATAGTTAACTCAAGTAATCCCCGATTTTAACACCACAGAAGTGCTGACTATAAACTTTGCGCACACACACCCCCCACAAAAAGCCCAGGATAACAGCACTTAATGTTACAGTGGGCAGGGCCCAAGGCAGTAGAATTCAGTTTAAGGAAGTTTTCTTATAAACAAGGTCTGAAAAGATCAGTATTCAGTGCTTCCAGTCAGAATTAAACGTTTACTTCAGCTTAATTTGCTTTTAGTCTTCAGAAGATAGGCCCATCTGGGGGTAAAACTGTTTCTTTTCTAGATCTCTGCAGAAGGTGCATAACCGGAATTGACGGTGGTGGTTCTGTGACAGAACGTGATCTATCCACAGAACCTCCAAACAGCAAATGGTCTTAGACACAACCTGAGGCTGAAGTTCTCCAACTGCAGCAGCGAAGGGAATAAAGGTGCAGTCTCCTCTCTCGCAGCTGTGTGCCAAGTCATGCAGTAGGCGAGAATCCATACTTGATAGCGTAGGTGGTAGAACAGTTCCTCACAAAATCTATTAAGGTTTATTGATACAAGGGAGGTTGGGTTGTTTTTTTTTTTTTAAAGATTATTTATTGTAACAACTGCTACACTAGTCTAGGACTTGTTTGTCCTTAATTTAGACAAATAAATCAAACAACTGTTAATAGAAGGGAAGACATTCAACTTTAAAGAAAAGTCTGTGGGTTTTGTAGGTTAAAAAAAGGGTAGCTTTTGTAAAACAAATAATATTTGTCCTAACTAATTTTGTGAGTTTGAAGACATGTAGTTTCAAACACTGTCATCTGGTACTAAACCACACATCCTACATGAGAGCACTAAAATCCAATTACAAACAGGGAAAAAACCCAAACATATGACTTTGGACAACTTGAAGACAAGAGCAGTAAACGTATGAGTCAAGAGTATTAGCGTATGCAACAGCAGCGATGTGATTAACAAGGGTAGTCTGGAGCCTCTGCAGCTATGTACTATCAGCTGCTGTTTTCCAGGAGCCCGAGTCAGAAGATGATGTACAAAATGAGCCAATCAACAGAGAATCACTGGAAAAAAATAAGTTACCTCAGCAGATATGAAATTAAAAGGACAAGATTAAGAAACAGAAGCTCTGTACTTATGACAATGCTAGTTTAAAAAAAAAGGCAAGCAGGAGTAATCATTATGCTACAGTGGGAGAGAACCGAGGTTTTTCTAATGCAAACTGAACTGGCACAGTGATTAAAACCAGGTTTGTTCTTCTCTCATTATGGTAATTACAACAGCAAAATAAAGTTGTAAGATCACTCTGACGATGCTGTAGTAAGCATGGAGTATCAAAATTAGACACAAAGATAATCGCTATTCATGAAATAAAGTTGGGGTATGTTTCTCACGTACTTTGAAAACAATATAAAAACCACAGACAATGCGATGTGTTAGCAAGTCCCTTGTGCATTAAGAGTTTATTTTATTTTTGTAATGGAACTGCACCATTGGTTACTCTAATTGAGGTATTTAGCCAAAATCTAGTATATAGTCATTAAAATAACTACACTGCCTTATAGCTATGTAAAAACATTTGTACAAAATTTGTGTCCAATGTCAAATAAATACATAAGTTTTGATATTTATGTAAAGAAAAGTGATTTGGATACTCTTACAGTTAAAAAAAACTGGCTATTTCACATATTTTAGGCAAACATTCAGTTTTACATTAAAACAGACCTCAAACTGAAGCCCAGGAACAGGTCAAATACAAAATGTAGAAACTTAAAAGTGCCAACAAACAAGATAATTCAAGTACAGTAAATGTTAAAAAATATATATATTTATTTCAACTTTCAGACGCTTCCAACAGGTACAAGCCATCAGGATTTAAATAAGACAAGAAAACATTTGAGATAAAGGACAAGAAACGTTGTGTTCCAGGATAAAATAGGAACTGTTAATCCACCATTTTAGAAACAGAAAAGTCCACAGCAACTTATAAAAAGAGATTTAGGAGATTATTTCTGTTTTGAATATGGCCTGGAAGAATCACAATTTATATCCCAACCACCAGGCGATGATGACTTTTCTGTATCCATGCTCTGACTGTAAGCAGATAGAAAATAATTACCCCCATCTTGGTTTTGACTTGCAGAAGAAATTGGATATGTTGTTCCCAGAAAAGTCTGATGAGTGAGTACATTAAAGTGACTGAATTGATGGGACATATTTAATTGTCTACTATAAACTTGGAAGTTATTGAAAGGAGTCTGTTCAACTGAATTGTGTTTTTCCCCTTCAGCAGAGCATGTTGTAGAAACTGGAGTAACTGGTTGAGTCTCTTCCAAGTCAGTTTTAGAAGTCTTTTGTGCTTCAGGAGATAACTCTCTAACTGCCAAGCAGCTTTCTTTTGCATCTACTCCATGTGAGCCCTTGGCCTCTGTCTGCAAAGCTTCCAAGTGAGCATCATTGCAGATTTCTATTTGTGATGTTTCATCCCCTGAATCCAGAGACATGTCCTCCTCCTCCTTTTCATCGTTTTCTACAAGAACTACATTAAAAAAAAGAGAAAGTCCTATTCTATTGAAATACAAACTTTTGTTAGAAAAGCTATACACTACTCACAGAGTGTTACGCTTCAGGTCTGCGAGTCCAGTATCACTTAAGTCTTGGTCTTCTGCCACTCTTGTTCACTTACTCAACATACACACTTAACCCTCTGTGTGAGTGTCCAGTTATTCCGATGCTAAAAGCTTCTGCACATTGTGTTCGTGTTTAGTGTGGGGAAATCCCAACTCCCAGCTCCAAAGGGGATAATGTCAAAACAGCATCTAAAGTTATACAGTAGGTGAGTAGTTGATCAGACAATTAAAGGAGTACAATTACCGACACCTCAGTCTTTTTGTTACGGTTTCTAAAAGCTATCATTAAGTTTATCCTCCTTTATACCACTTTGGGATATGGCTACTTTCTGGAATACCATGTTAGCCTGTAATTCTGCATTCAAGATCTCCTTTGGTGCTCCGTCCCAGCTGCTTTTGCCCCATCATTGCACATAGAAAAAGAGTAGCTTGAGAGTTGGGTTTTCCTTGCCATCTGTAGTGTTCATTTACAATAGTAAAGGCACACTCTCTCAAGGACCTCCACCCCACATGTCTAATTAGGTAAAGAAAGTATAAGGGCTTTTTAATTACCTGATTGTCTTTTGTGAGCATCGGAGGGAGGAAGGCTGTTTTCTTCAGTAACCGAGTTGTGGTACCCAACGAGACTCTTAAAATTTTGCATAAAGTCATCAACAGTAGCAACCACTATTCCATTATCAACATAATTTGCAAATGTTTTGACATTCTTTTCTGAAGACATAAAAGGAGATTTTGTGTTAATTTTTAGCACCTATTATCAAAAGAGGGAGAGAAGTATTCATAAATTTTATTTTTACCTGTTAAGAAGACAACATGTCTCTGTTGTATGTTTTGAGCCTGAAGCCTGATAAGACAATCCAATTCTGGAGCATTTCGAGTTTGAGAGTCACAATTATGGTAAGACAGAATCTCAACCAAGTGCTTCTTTTGATAGGTATTCAGAAGGGTCAGCAGACTCAGGGCATTAGCATTCATTCTGTAAGGGCAGGGCCGGGGGGGAAGCACACTATTAGGAAGATGCTTGATTTAAGGTCAGTCTGAATATTAAAATTAAGTCAAAAGACAAACATAAGACTAAGTTCTACTTCACTGGGTTTTGGAGAGCATAATTGAAGCTGAAGTATTTTAACAACTGGTATTTAAAGAATACTACTTACCTCCCCAACTCTTTAAGTTTTTTTTGTATTTTACAGTGGACTTTCCACTGCCATTTCCCATCTGGGGTATTGAGATCCTCCAGAAACTTTAAGAACTGTTTTAGTTTATCTGTTTCGGAAATATTGAATAGAAGTTAAATTTTGTGGTATGCAAACTGAAAATACTGCTTCAGTATCTACACAAAGCTGCTTTCTGATTTCATTGAAGTAATTACACAACTGTGAACATTAGCCTAGTACTTCAGGTTTTCTTCCTAGCAGATTAGCCAACAACAATATTCCAAAACTGAGATGCTTCTTTGTAGGTCAGACGCCCAACAGTGGTATCTGCTTTTGTAAAAGCTGAATTCAGTCATCCATGGTCTGCCCTGCTAAAATACCCTTTAAAAACTGGTAATTTTGTTAAAGATTTTCAAATAAAGAAAAAGTGAAAGAAATGAGCTTCTCCATTTTTTTTCAGCATATTTGTGGATTGAGTAGTAAGGAATAAGTTTGTGTAGTTACGTGTATGGAACCTTTAACACAAACTTAGATAAGATCTCCAAGTTCACCTGTTCCCCAGAAACATGTTCTCCAAAAAGCCCACAGAGGTAAGGAAGAGACTGAATTAGCTGAAGTTGTCAAAAAAAACCCAACAACAACAAAAAAAAACCCCAAACAAACAAAAAAACCCTTCCAAAACCAGAAGACTTGAAAATTACAAGGCTTGACTCTTCACTGCGACAAGTACAGCATCTCTCTCAAATGTCAGGCTTTTTTTGTCTGTGTTTTAAAGCTTCAGAAAATATCACACTTACCTATAGTGATGGCCTCTGGATTAAG